TGAATTTGGGGTGACCCAATGCAAAGATCCTGAGGATCCATGTTGATCTATGCTTTGTAACCACATTTTAAGTGGGGAGCGAAGGAAAAACAAAGAAGGGACATGAGAGGGGTGTGTAGAGAAGCAGCTGGCTAAGAATGCTGGAGAGGGATTTAACGGGTGGGAGGAAATTAAGGCAAAAGTTCCCCCCCAAGCCAGCCATCTCTCTCTCTCTCTCTCCCTCTCTCCCTCCCTCCCCCCTCTCTCCCTCCCCCCCCTCTCTCCCTCTCCCTCCCCCCTCTCCCTCTCCTCCCCCCTCTCCCTCTCCCTCCCCCACTCTCTCTCCCTCTCCCCCAGCAGCACCGGAGCACAGAGAGGAATTAGAAAGAACGACACTCTGCTTGCCTGGAGGGGAGGGGCTTTCCCTGCTCTTTGTTCCGTTTCAGCAATCACAGCAACGAAACAGAGGAGGGTGGGCAGTAAGACCCTGAGGCAGAATGCAGGAAAGCTGCCACTTCCTCTTTTCAGGTTTCCCTTCTCAGTGACTCACGATTTGACTTTTGCTTGATTTTTTGGCTCCAGGGACCACACATTCGCTCTATAACACGCACAGACATTTCCCCTTCCTTTTTAGGAGAAAAAATCTGCGTGTTATAGAGGGAAAAATACGGTATAAACAAAAGCAACACAGCCCATAGCGGCTGTGTTGCTTGGTAATATTAACATATCTGACCCACAAACTACTGAGCATTAGTGGTATCACACCTGTTGGTTTTGTATCGGGAGGGACTAGAGAAAATCTGATTTACCCCATTACACAGACTTTCACTGGTCGATCTCCAAAGTCTCTTCTGATTGTTCCAACAGGGAGCTCCAATTTTTAATTCCCAGGGCAAAATACCTAAATGTATCTATTTCATGTTAACAGTTATGCTTCCCTCCCATGCCATTCAACAAATTTATGTGTTTTATATTCTGTAACTTGTTTTTCCCCCTTGTTAGCAGACCTTAAATAAATTACATTTATTTATATTACAACTGTTGGCAAAAGGGGTTACAAAACTTTTGAGACTGGAGTCCAACTGAAGGGCAACTGGAATAGTGGGCCTTTGCCATGTCCTATTAGATTGTGATACTTTGGAATAAGGAGAGTGCTATAAAAGAGAGCATCCATTCAAACTTACACAACAAACAAGTCCTATTCAGCTGTCAACATTGATTCTACTTTCCTTCCTAGGTCTCATCAAGTTCATATATCATATAGCTTGCTTTAGCGGAAGAACACGTCAACATTGTCCATTTCACATTATCATCATCAAGCTAATTCCATGTTTCCTTTCCTCCACTGAACTTCAACAGAACAAGAAGCATGCTTCAGAAAGCATGTCTGCTTCTTAAAGCAGCTGAATGATTGCTACATACGAGTAATTTTAACACACACCCCACTTTAAACTAAGTTCAAGCCATCTGTTCCACCCCTCAATTATACAAAGCAAAATAAACCTCCAGCAATGCCCCGTAACAAACAATGCAGATGTCAATCTGCTTCTGTCTGTATTTACGTTCTCCGCCAACCCCACCCCCCACCGTTCATGGGGCATTAGTCGCATCTCGTGTTGCAGAGAACAAATTCATCATCAGAATCCAGAATCGGGGGGGGGGCAGAGAGGGAAGAGCATTTGTTATTACTATTTATCCACTTGATCCTCTCTGTCCCGTGTCCCAGATCCTCTCTGCATTCCTACATTACCAAAGTATGATGAGATGAGGCCACGGGGGAGTGAAAAACATGGCTGTGAGAGCCATCTTGGGGAACGGCGCATAGCTTATGCACAACTATAGCACAGTATGGCCAGCTGCATCGGTAGGTGCAGACACAGAACAGCCCTGACCCAACTGCGGTGTGGTTAAGGGAGAACGTAGTGTAAAAAAAGAAAGGGTGCATGTTACTAAGTTGAAAGTGATGGGAAAGGGCAAGCAAAGACTGGCATGAGGGTATGAGGGGGGAAGCTAAAGAAAATGACAAGAGCCTGAGAACAACCAGAATACTTTCAGAGAAGGCCAAAGAGGAAAGAAGTTAATTAGGATTGCCATAACCAAAGTCTTTTTATCCCAGGTCTCTACAGATACAGTGGTACCTCAGGTTACATACGCTTCAGGTTACAGACTCCGCTAACCCAGAAATAGTGCTTCAGGTTGAGAACTTTGCTTCAGGATGAGAACAGAAATCGTGCTCCGGCGGCGCGGCGGCAGCAGGAGGCCCCATTACCTAAAGTGGTGCTTCAGGTTAAGAACAGTTTCAGGTTAAGAACAGACCTCCAGAACGAATTAAGTATTTAACCCGAGGTCCACTGTATATCCAAAGCACCAAAATAATAAGGAGCATGTAAGAAGGGGGAAGGGGAAAAGATATGATTTGGAGAAAATGCTGTTATCAAATTATGTAGATTTACATGTATGTGATATTTTCAAAGGTGTGGCTCCAGAAATGAATTCAGTAGAACTATACATTTCAGATTGCTTTCTCTTCTCTTCTGCATTTGTCCTCGCAACCACCCTCTGTGTGATAGGCTACAATTAATCCAAGGAATTTGAAATAATTCTCCTAGCTCTGTTTTATCATCAGCTGTTGCTTTTCATTTCCTGCCAGTCTCTTTCAAACAGTATCTGTCTAATGCACTCTTTCCCGCCAGCTTAATCAGAAGTGTTGAATTAAGAGTACAGTTGTATATTGGCTGTCGAACGGAACCTGTTCCGGAAGTCAGTTCCACTTCCAAAATGTTCGGAAACCAAAGTGCGGCTTCTGATTAGCTGCAGGAAGCCAATCGGAAGCCATGTCAGACGTTCAGTTTGGCGTTTGGGAGCCAAAACGTTTGACTCGCAAGGAGTTTGGGATCCAAGATACGACTGTAGTTTATAGTGATACACATCTAAGGACCGCTTCACAAGGTAATTTGGGGCAGCTAAAATGCATAGGTTGTATCCAATGAAGACATCCAATTTGAGTAAAGACTTCTGGTTGTGCAACAGAACTTCCCTTCCCTCTCCTCTCCTCTCCTGCCACACTCCCTGTAAATCTGCCTTGGTGGAGAACAGGGGGAAGTACTGCTGTGCAAATGGAAATCCTTGCACAAATGGAACAATTTCGTTTCCTACAACACCACTATTTTAATTTTGCATCATTTAAACACAGAATCCAAATATTAGTCAGTATTAACCCTCCTCCGCTTCAGATATTCCTTACACCCTCTGTCACTGTCACAGATTAGGATAAACATGGAGAGATGTCTATGGCTACCTCTCTTCAGCCTTCAGGGTTGAACATGCTCAAAAGATTTTCTCAACTCAAGAGAGGAGAGCCCCCGTTTCCAATTTATGATAGAAGAAAGGGGCTACTTATAATGTTCTTTGTTATCAGAATATCTTTTAACTATGATACCATCTCCAAATCATGCTCCCTTCATAATGACTATTTAAGGCTTCACTGAAACTACCCACATGTGAACTATTTGCTAACAACTGTAGCACTTGCCACCAGGAGTTAGATAACCAAGAAGTTATATATAGGGCCCATATGGCAGTGACCAATACTTAAAGATCCACATCCTGTTATCTCTCCACTGAGGTAATGAACAACAACCAGCCCCAAAGTTACACTTTTTTCCACCTGTTATATTCTTTCTGAACTACTCTTGGGCTTATGATGCAACTGGCTAGCTCCATGTTGAAAGCCATTCACAGCAGCTTTCCCCATGTCCACTTTCTCTCCAGATAACACTAGACTACAACTTCCATCATTCCTTGACCACTGACCATACTGGCAGAAGCTGATGGGAGTTAGAATCCAACAACATTTAGAGGGCACCAACGTGAGCAAGGCCGGCTTAAACATTTGGCCAGATAACCATCATCTTCTGATGGGCGAAAAGTAGGGTATGTGAAATGTAGACAAATGCAATCTAGAACCCCATTTGACCTGGAACTGTACTGCTGATGTGCAAAAGTCAGGCCACGGCTCCTGCTAATGAAACTATTTCAGACAATATCTCAGATAAACTGACACTCAAGAAGATTCATCTGTGAATTTCAAGTATTAAATGGGGTAATGGGGGAATTTCAACATTAAATGGGGTAATAGCTCAGTGGTAGAAGGCAGAAAGCCTTGGGTCTAAGCCCCAATATTTCCAGTTAAAATAAACTGCTGTAGGGATGGGAAAGACCTGCAGAAGGCCTTGAAGAATGCTGATTACGGTAGAATACCCTTTGCCAACCTGGTGCCATCTAGATGTTTTGGACTACAACTCCCATCATCCCTAGTCAATATAACTGATGGGAATTGTAATCCAAAACACCTGGGGGACACCAAGCTGGCGAAGGCTGGGTTAGGATGATTATACCAAGCTGCCACTAAAAATAGCTGGCCCTTCCATAACGTGTAGCACAATTAAAGCAGTGTCTAAAAACCCCACCATGTAATAACACCAGGAAAGGGACCGCAGCAAGTTATTCTGCACATTATGGAAGGGGGTGGGGTGAGAGAGTGTGACACAGGGCCGATGTTCCTGTATTTCTTGCATTATTAAATTATGCCCTCATGCATAGGCTCTTTCCAAGTCGACTTTCGTACAAGTATTGTTGCAAGAGGGTATCTCTAAAGGAGCTTGAAAATCCAGCAGATATTCACCATTACAAGCAAGGACCCTGATCCAACCCAGTAATGAAGGTTTTTATTTCCATCAGTAAAAGGTGGGGGGGGGTTATTTTTTCTTTTTAATTTATTTTGAGTTCTGCAGTGTGGGTTGCATACATTTTCAGAAATGAAACGCCACAAAATTACAAACTTGCTGTTACATCGGCTACAGATCACCAAGAAATGCACGGGATCAAGAGGATTTGCAAGCTATAAAGCGAAGAGTGATGTCTCTGTTCCATAACTGTTGACAGAAGCCTGCGCGAACGAACCAGCCAGAGTTGAAGCAACATTTGACCTTAGCAATCCCATCTCTGCACATCAGTCTTACCTTATAATTGCTGGAATTTACCCACGAGGTAGCAAGGCCATCAACCATTTTATCCAGCATGGTCTGATCATGTTCCAGATCGGCAGATTTCTGTTTATCTGAGAAATAGTCTATTAGTTCTTGGCCAACCTGAAGTCTCTTCCCAACATCCTTCTGCAGAACCTGGACCAAGCAACCCTCCATGGTGGGCTCCATCTTGTGCTAGGAAAACAGCACAGCCAGTGGAGAAGCTAGAGGGCAGCAGGTTTGAAAAGTCCTGCTGCAGATGTCTCCTCTAGGTCGCCTCTTTGTTCGATGAAGGTTACCAAGGGCCTGGATTTCAAAGACGTGATTCTGGGAATGGCAACAATGCACCATGTGTGTCTGAAGAGCAGCTGGCAGGTTATTAAAAGTTCAATTCAAAATAACTAGTAATAGATAAATAAAGCTGGGAGCGGACCAGCCGTGCTGTATGACCAGGTCTGTGATGCTTCTCTGTTCAGCAGTCCATCCTGAAAGAAAATTTTAAAAGAGGGAAAAGTTAGAGGCAAACTAGGAAGAAAGCAAACAGCCAAACAGCATAAAGTCCCAGCTGAGATACTTAAAGCTGTCATGTTGTGTGTGCGTGTTTTTAAAAAAGTAGTAATTTATCTATCTGTTCCCTTGCAACCATTCCTTGCAACTATTCTCATGTCTTACACAGCACTGCAGTCTGCCCCAAAGAAGAAAAAGGAGCTAATCCTGTTATTCGGGGCATCAACTGCTAAGGAAAAAAAACCACGTAGACAAACAAAAAAGAAACCCACATTTTGTTCAACAACAAAAATGCAGTCAACAAATTATAATATGGATTTCTGGCTGTCAACTGTATGGAGAGACGGATACTTTGCCATGGGTGCTGTCTGCTGAAATCAGACACGACCAAAAGAAAGAGAAAAAACGCTGGAGAAAGAACCACAGAAGCAGTCGCCTCCTGTTCTGTCTGTGCGCGCATCAGACACACAGAGCAAGTGACAGCAAGGTTTTGCATATTGGTGATAGCACAGGGCAAGTCTGGATGAGAAAGCAAGTCTGGATGACTCCCGGAAGCCAGCTTCATGTTTTTAGCAGCAACTTTGAGAAATATACCGCACTGTCAAGAGTTTCAACATGCAATCCTCCAGAATGCTACCCATATCCTGGCCTCCGCATCCCAATAAAATTATTCATGTAAGAATTACCACAACATAACCTCTATGTTTGAATGCACTAACTGTGCAGCCTTGTACAGGGTTACTCAGAAGTGTACCCCGCAGATTTCAATGAGACTTATTCCCAGGTTAGTATGTATACCAGGAATGGGGAAACTGTGTTCCTCTTTAGTCCCTTCAGCTCCAGCCAGCATTGCCAACAATAAGGGATGATAGGAGATGGAGTTCAGCAATGACAGGGGCCAGAGGTTCCCTCTCCTTGGTGTATATACAACTGCAGCCTTAAAACTGCTACCAAAGATAGTGGTCATGCATATTGCCAAAGTGTCCTAAGAAATCTGGTATCTGCAAGGTCTCCACTGATGCCAGATGGAGGTTCATTATACAGTGGTACCTCGGGTTACATACGCTTCAGGTTACAGACTCTGCTAACCCAGAAAAAGTACCTCGAGTTAAGAACTTTGCTTCAGGATGAGAACAGAAATCGTGCTCCGGCAGCGCAGCAGCAGTGGGAGACCCCATTAGCTAAAGTGGTGCTTCAGGTTAAGAACAGTTTCAGGTTAAGAAAGGACCTCCGGAACGAATTAAGTACTTAACCCGAGGTACCACTATATATATTTTAGGTGCCAGGCAAAAATGTTCCTCTTCAACCAGGCCTTTAAAATGTGTCTGTGGGAAGGGGTGATTATTGTTTTGCTGTTTTGTTTTAATTATTTACTTGTTCTTAGCCTGTATTTTATTTTGTGAACTGCCCTGGGACCTTAGGGTGAATGGCAGGTAATTAATATAATATTATAAATTATAAGCACGACTATTATTATTATTATTATTATTATGCATCTGTTTCTAACGCGGCCTTGTATTAAAGCATCAGCCCGGCAGGTATAGGGAAAAGGAATTCCATGCAAGCAAGTTAACAGGCTGGTTGAAGCAAGGCAGAGCACTTCATTCTTCCTCTGCCCCTCACACAGAAATGCAGTCCCTCCTCTAAGCCTCAGTGTCTTCAAAAACTCCTGTGTTTTCAAACAGGACTTTTAAAGAGAAGCAGAGGAAGCACATACTGGAGGTCCGTCCACCCCCGTCCACCCCCCCGTGACAATGCTGCCAACTCTTCTGTATCACTTTACCAGCAGCTGCAGGCTCTATGTTCCCTTCCCCCTCCATAATGAAATGAATCTTTGCTCACACATATTCCAATACAGTACACACACACACACTCTCTCTCTCTCTCTCCATCTCCCTCCATTAATTCTGGCAGACACACACTCCTCACTTCACCACCGCAACCCCCACAGCCCTTCCACTTCGGTCTCTCATGTGGCCCTGCTTATGCGGCTAGAAAAGTACCACTTGCATGGTTTAAAAAATAATAATGGGGGGGAGGAGTCTCCACATCCTAAAAACTATTATTTGCAGGTGCCTTTTAATGTAAAGAAAAATAAGCTGCCTAATGATAACATCTGAAGCTCCTGGATGTATAGAAAGTAGGGCATACTTGAAGGAAAACAGGTCAAGCTCAGTTCAAAAGAGAAGGGCGGCCGGCAGGGGGGGGTTAACCAGACAGCTGTAAAGCACATCTCTTGCCAAGTAAACAATCAGGGCAAACCTACAGGCATCACCCAGTACAAAAACAATACAGTACAATAATACATCCTAATTGACTTTTATCTGAAGAGCAGAGTGTCAGTAAAGTGTCTTTCCTCACAGACTGTATTTCTAGGTCATCATTGCTGCAGTTCTCTTTTCCTTTCTTTAAATAAAGAGCCCCGACCGTCAGTGAAATGACAAAACTTCTCCAGCAGTCAGGGCCTGTATGTTGTCTATTCAAAACAGCCTTCCCTGCCCTGGTGAGTTCCAAATGTGTTGGGACTTATACCTCTTGTCATCCCTGATCATTGGCCATGCTGGCTAGAGCTGATGGGAGCTGCAGTCCAAAGTATCTGGAACGCCCCAGGTTCGGGAAGGCTGGACTTTAAGATAATGTATACCCTTATCAATAAACAATTGGCTCACTAAAAAGACTGTTTCTTTAAAGAATACCAATTCTGCACAAACGTCCCTCACTGAATCCTAAGACACAAAACGAAGTCCCAGAGCACTAGACAAGTGGGCAAAAACATCAAAATGGTGGTGGGTGAGTGTATCAGTACTCCACACAGGGATGATGCAGATGTTACTTGTGGGTTATAAGAGTTCGGGAAATGTAACTTGAAGGGTAAAGGGCTTTCTTATTAGAAAAAATGAGGCTCATAATACAGCCATTAGGCCAGCCATCCCTAACATGGTGTCCTCCAGAAAATCTGGACTACAACTCCCATCAGCCCCAGCCAGTCTCACTCACTGTGTTAAGGTTGTACAACAGGCTTAGATAAAACTTTAAAGTTCAACGCAGCCACCCTTATCTAGATATTAACACTATGGGTCAGGGATGGATAACTTGTAGTCCTCCAGCTGCTGTTAAACTCCAAGTCATATCAGCTCTAGCCAGCAGGTCCAATTGTTAAGGATGATGGGAGCTGGAGTCGAATATCATATGGAGAAGACACAGGTTCCCCACCCCTGCCATAGACGAAATCCTCTGACAACCATAAATACACACACACACACACACACACACACACAATTAAGAGAGAGGCAGAGAGGCAGGAATCTGCACAATATTAACCTAAGTAGTCATTTATTGCAGGCTGCAAGATCAGCTATGGCACATTTCTGGAAGAATCCTTCAAATGCTAATCTTACCTACTGGTACAGATGGTTTGGGAAACAGCAATAATGGAAGAACAGACATTAAAAAATGTGAGTCATAGGAGGTCAAAGCACAGAAGACTAATTTATTAGTACATGATATGATTTGGTGACATAAAGTAATGTGAGAGAGCATGCTCGATGCCAGATGCCGGCAAATCAATGGATGTGGATGATACAGACTTTTATAGAGGATCCCTTTGTTGATTTTGTGTTATGTTAGGTATACTGACTTTTAACAGAAAGAGGGTCATGTTGGCTTAAGTCAGCACATTATGTATTTTACTCTGGACCGTACTTTATGGACTTTACATGGCATGCCTGACTATTATTATTCACTGAGTTTAAAGTACCTATAATTATTCTAGTTGCTTTTGAAGACGGTTTACTGCCAAATGGCAGTGCTTTTGTAATTATATAAAACCAATAAAAAACTGTTGTTGTTTTTAAAAGACAACAGTCAATTGCGCAACTATAAATAAACAAAAAGAGCATCTCAAAGCCTACTGTCAACAGCTGGACCTCAAATATCTTAACCATTAATTTTGGCCTGCACCTTACATTATGAGGCTGTCCTGTGTATTACATCATCCAACTACCTGGATCCCTCTGATAGTCACCAGACCACAAACAAGGGCTTCGTGTCAAGGAAGAAACTGCCCCGGGAGCTATCCCTTCATTTCTCACAAGAACGTATGTTCAGGATGGTTAGGCCGATGTGAGAAAACCACCCCAATATCTATATCCACTGCTTCCGGAGAACAACTGGGCTGGTTTTCCCATCCTTCCTATCCCTTTATGACTTCGTACCAACTTAGCTGGAGGCTGCATGAATCCAGTGATTTGTTAGCTGAACACAGCAGTGTTTGTCTTCCTGAGAATTCAAACTGTGGAAAGAACCTTAAGAATACCAAAGTAGATTATAGGAGTAGGTTTTAAGTGGCTGTGGCACAACCTATAACAGAGGAACCTCTTGAAGCAGAGAATGCTTGCAGGTGGGGGGGGGGGAGAGATGACCTGATGCAGATAAATGCTATATCCCAGGGGTTGTCAACATTGTGCCCTGCAGATGTTGCCAGACTACGTAATTCCTTCCCATTGGCTATGCTTGCTGGGGTAATGGGAGCCGGGAATACACCATGTTGGCTACCCCTTGCCAATCAGATTTTGTCAGATTTTCAAGAGTCGGCCATGACACTCTGCCAATGGGTTATGCAACACTTCTGCAAAGATTCCCCCAAGAAGCAGGGGCAGGAGCTGGGGGACAATATCGGGTACTGTTCTGCATTTGTCCTTTAAAGCCTTACTGTGGACATCTAGGCCTAAAGCATCCTTGATTAATAAGAGCTCTTTGAAGAGCTCTCCAAGTAAGGCTGCTTGGGACCGTTTCAGTGACTCTAGCCAAAGGAGGTTCAACTAGAATCTCTCATTGTTTAGGACCGGACTGGAGTACAACCCTTGTATTGAGCTCATTAGGCCAATGGCTTCAGTTATTTTCTTTCGCCTATTCTGTTTACACAATAGCTTTTGTATCTGAGGACTCTTTCCAGGGGTACATTAAGTCTGAAATTTTG